GATCACGGATTAAAGGTCAAGCTCATTCTGTATCACGGACTTATCCTTACCCCTGAATCTGATTCCCACAGATTCATTTCCCCAATTAGTCTCTTTCCCCCTGCATCTACTAACCTTTATCTTTTAGTTGCAAGCCTGTTGGACTCCGTTCCAGTGGACCTTAACATCAGTTCTACTTCTACTGGCAGCCCGCCACTACAACACTACCCAATCACGAACTACCAATCAGAAGATCGGAACCAGCCCAGAACCGGACCTACTCCAGAGTTTTACTTTATTTCACAATAAATCTTTTAACCCTCTCAGTGGTTGTTGTTGTTGTTTGCGATCCGGCCTCTGGTTCATGACAGTTCTGGGTCTTGTATGAAAATGTCCTCATGTTTTAGAGTCTTATTTACATAGAAATATAATAATGTGTGTATGCATTGCTGTATATGCAAGTCCCCTTTTATTTGTCTTGGAATGATAAAAAAAAATGCTGATGTTATTTCTTTGAATGTGAACAATTATTATTTTGTGAGAAAATGACCAACGTCAGGGTTAAACTGAAGCTAAAACTGAAGGCGAAACCAAAAATGTGATTGTTTCGGGCATTTTCAACTCCTCGGATTATTTACGAACAAATACAAAGCTTTAACAAAAAAAAAAAAAAAAGAAAGATAAATACACATGTTTTTGTGTGTATACCAGTTTGTTTTTAATAAGGATTACTTTTTTAACACCTTCCTACATGAATAGATTAAAAAAACAACGATACATATTGGAAAGTGTTTTAACCCTGCTGCTGCCCTTGGGTCAAAATGGTCCAAGAGGCCTCAGTTTTAACGCTGAGACCTTGTGAGTCATGTTGACCAAAGGGCAGCAGAGGGTCAAGCTGTTGCTTTTACACTGATATCAGTAGAACCGATGCAAGAGTAAAAAGTTATACTAATCTACTAAAGTAGCTGGTTTTACAAAGAGAAGAGCCCGGTTGATGTTTGGCAGCTTCTGGTCCCCTCCTGCTCACATGGAGTGAAGGTTCTACTCGTAGGGAGGATGCATCCCATCGTAGTGGAACTCCCTCCACTGCTCCGAGCTCTCTCTGCTCCTCTCGTTCTGTTCTGGAGGATGGATTGAGGAGCATTAATGGTGAAAGAACTCCTGTCTCGGCTGCAGTGCACATAAAGAGGTCACGTACCGTCACTGTCCTCCTCGGAGTGGCTCTCAAACTCATTCCTCTTCTTCTCGTGGAACTCTCTCCTCCGTTCATCAGCTGCCAGAACCTGCCTCTGCTCAGCTGCAAACACATCGGGGACAACATCGCAAAGAATTTGCAGCTTAGACGTTGTATGTTGTGATCTTGTAATTAAAATATAAAAAATGTATGAAAAACAGATTTTGCCCTACGACATAAGAGAAGCAGAATAAAGAAGATTAGAGAACGGTTCACCAAACTGTGAATGACCGTGTGCATTATGGTAGTTTATTTCTTAATTAAGTTTATCTTTACACACAGTAGTACTATAACAGTAGTACTATAACAACCAGGCCTGCCGGCAGTCAGAACCTGTCACTAAAACATTTAGTGCTTTAAGACAAAAGAAGCAAAAAGGCTGTTACGCAGCTAAAATCCTCCTTTTTATCTGAAATAAAAAAGTAATTTTAAACATCTCTAGTACTACTACCACTACTGGCATTTTCTGTCAAAATGATGTAGGAATGTTGGCTTTGCTGAAATCTGCTGGAGTTAAAACTGAAATAATAAAATAATTATAAGCTTAAATTACCAAACCACTTGTTAAAAGCTAACAACTGCTAAATCATTTCTTAGCACACAATAGCTGTATTAAAGTTTTAATTAGCATACCAACTAAAAGCTAAAACTACCAAAGCAATGGCTAAAAGATAAAATTAGCAAAACGTACCCTAAAAGCTAAAAAAAAAGGTCAAATCCAGTTGAATAAAGCTAAGGTTAGCAAAACAATAGCTTAAAGATAAAAATGAAACACATATGTTGTAGGACTTTTCTTTTAAAGTTTCATATTTGTTTCCATGAAAACAAAAATCAGTGCACGGATCACAACTACCAAAAGTTATCCCGAATGAGCCGAACATTTTGATTCCTGACTGGTTAAATTAGCTAAATGTACGCTGAAGTAGCTGAAGCAAACAGTATAGAGCAGGGGTGGGAAACTTATTGAAGGGCCAAAATATTTAAAGCAACAGAAGGGCTGCTTAGAGGATCGCTAAATATTTTTTATTAAGACACAAAATAAAATAAAAACTTAAAAGAGTTTTTCAGGCTTTTTCTTGGTGTAGCATAGTTAGCGTGCTCAATAAAAAAAGTCCCCAAATACACTGTAGAAGTACAAGACAAACTTTGTGTAAAATGGCTCTTGTTACATTATATTAATGTAAATGTGGGGGAAAAGTTATTTACTGTATTTGAGTTTTGGAGTCTTTAAGGTTCAGTCTAGAAACAAAACTTTTTAAAAAATCCTCACTCTAAAGGTTTTTATGTATTGATCCAAGATGTTTAATTTAAACTTCCTTAAGTTACATTTATAAATGTTTTCATCAACTTAAAAAAAAAAAAAGTTGTTTTCTTTTCAATTAAGAGTTTTGGGGCCGTGGGTCTGATGGAGATTATCCAAGGCCCACTTTTAGCCCTCAGGCTGTACGTTGCCCACATCTGGATCGGCTCTAAACACAAACATGCTGACTCAGCATTGATACCTTGGGGCAGCTGTGGCTGAGTGGTTAGAGCAGTCGTCCTCTAATGAGAGAGTTAGGGGTTTGATTCCACCAGCAGTCACATGCTGAAGTGTCCCTGGGCAAGACACTGGACCCCTCATAGCCTCTGATGTGTGTCCCATCGGTGTGTGAACGTGATCTAAAGCTCTGATTATTCTTTGTACTGATCTAGTAGAGTGCTGTATGAATGTGTGTGTTAGAGGTAAATGAGGGCACAGATTGTGTTGTAAAGAGCTTTGATTTGATAGAAAGAGGCTACAGTCCATTTACACTTTAATTTATATGGTTTTGCACATAATTTACTCTTTTCTTCACAACAGCTGGTCTCATCAGGTTTTCCCTCAAATTTAAACCAAAATATGTTATGACTGGATTCCAGTTTAAAACTTTGCATGTTCTCTTCCACACTTTCAGACAAAAATGTATTTGCATGATTTTCTCTGTGATTGCCTCTGTGTGCGTGAGAGCTGTGTTTCTCTCCGTCTGCTGCAGGTGAGGGTTTTTGAAGCAGGCAGCTTGTTTGCCTCACTTCTCAGCGCTCTGACCTCTGTCTGCCAGTGTTTCTGCACATCGTTTCATCTCCCAGCCACTCACCCACTCACTCGCCCGTCTGTGTTCTCACTTTTTATCTCTTCCTTTCATTCCTCCTCTGATAGCACCGAGTCGATGCCAGGAAGGCAGCGTGTTACACAACTTCAGCGTTTGTGCTCTCACTTCTCTGGATGAGGCCGAGCTCGCAGGAGGTTTTTAAACCCTGTGAATGTTTGTGCTGCAGACAGATGTGTGCTGCTGTGGGTGGGAGCTCCATGCTGCCCTGTGGCTCCTGCTGCAGCAGAGGAGCAAGTCTGAGTCCAGAATACACCAACCAGCTGCTGGCTGCCACCAAATAACTTCACTGAAGACGTTTTTCAGCATTCCTTGGAGTCTTGCATATATCGCCCTCTGTCCTTCATGCCACAGTTTTAGAGTAAAATCAGCTAAATATAATTGTTCTGATCAAACCCTAAAAATAACTTTAAGTGATCATGTCAAGCTCGGAGAACCTTTTGTGAATAACTCTCAACTATTACCACGTGACATTTTAGCTCAATACCTGTGAAACTTTTGTGTTTATTAAAGTCATTAGAATTCCTTGAAATGGGTTTGTGAGGGATTAAAAAAAAAGTCTACCGTATTTTTCGGACTATAAGGCGCACCAGATTATAAGGTGCATAAAAAAAAACAGTCAGATAAGTCAAAGTTTATTCAACTCATTCACAATAATGCTCGACATTATTCAGTTGTAACACATAAATACAAAACAATAGAGGACCAGATTTAACTTTTTTAGATTTTTCTACCTGGATTATTGAGCATGCATCAGGATACAAAACAATACACATTTTTGAATGCTGTGTACCACATAAAATCAGTTGGAGGTCAGTAAGCACATCCAGAATTAATATATAAGGCCCACTGTCGATTTTTCAGAAAATGAAAGGATTTTAAGTGCACCTTATAGTCCGAAAAATACAGTAATTTTTTTAAACAATGCGCTTTTTACTGTCAAGAAATTAAAAGTGACAAAAAGAAGCTCTCATTGCCTGACGCTGGATAAAACCTGACTTTCCTGACTGCAGCTCCGTGACTCCCAATGTTTGTTCAACCTTTATTTAGACAGGTTAATCCCATTGAGCCTCGAGGACTCATTTATGAGAGACCTGATTTCAACAAAGAATGATGACAACAATGTACAAGAGCGACAACAATAGACAGTTATAAAAGAGACGTACAGATTTTTTTTTTTGGAGTGAATCAAATGTCCTAAAGAACGTCTAAAAGATTCATTGAGATCATTTTATAACTTAAAACTGTTGAAACTGAAGTACAAATAAACCCCACAGTGTCGTTTTTTTTTTACCACTTAAAAACTTTAGCCAGTTTAGGAAAAACAATTTTAATGAAGGCACACAAAGTTTACAAGTTATTTATTTACATCAGATTGTTTTACTGGAACAATATTAAAATAAAAAAGTGAATCAAACATTAAAATTATTTGAATAACTTGTTTTTTAAAGTTAGAGTTGCTGAAACTTGAGTAAACAATAGACACACACACACACACACACACAGGTTGGTTTTCCTATCTTTATGGGGCCTTTGAATTGACTTCCATTCATTTTTCATTAATTTCTATAGCCTAACCCTGACCATTACCCTAAACCTAACCATTACCAGTACACATAGGGCGGCTGTGGCTGAGTGGTTAGAGCAGTCGTCCTCCAATGCAAGAGTTGGGGGTTTGAATCCACTAGCAGTCACATGCTGAAGTGTCCATGGGCAAGACACTGAACCCCTCATCGCTTCCGATGTGTGTCCCATCAGTGTATGAATGTGATAAAGCTCTGAATAGTCTCATTAGAATGATTTGTTCAATTAGCTTTGTACATATCTAGTAGAGTTCTGTATGAATGAGTAAATGAGGACACAGATTGTTGTAAAGCGCTTTGAGTATCTTGATTAGATAGAAAGGCGCTATATAAGTACAGTTCATTTACCATACCTAACCCTAAACCTAACACATCCTCAATTCACACCTTAGTCCTTAACCTAACCCCTAACCCACCAACGGGACTTCTTATGGGGCCCAGGCTTTGGGCTCCATAAGGAGCAGTTGGTCCTCACAATGTAGTATAAGTTGGAAAAATGGGCCTTACAAAGTAGTATAAATAAGGTCAAACACATACAACCCCCCCCCCCCCCCACACACACACACACATACACACACACAACTCACCGTTGATCTCATCCTGAGACTTTGCAGCTCGTCTGCTACGTCTGAAGAAGTTTGAGGCTTCGGACTCTTTCATGAAGATCCTCCTCAGTGAACCTGCTGCAGAAGCAGGTTCTCAGCGTTAAGAGGATGAAAAGCCAAACAAGACGCACAACAGAAAAAATGTGCATGTTTCTCCTCACCTCGGGGACTTGTTGCGCTGCCTGTGCTGCTGTGCACAGCTGCAGACTCGGCCTCTGGAGACCCTGCGTTTGAGGACAGAATGTGAGAAGTTTCAATTAAAACCCGGAGCTGCTGGAAAACAAACAGCTAATGATGCCGCTTCTAAATAAGATCCTGCTGAGCTGAAGTTCTCCTTCATCAGACTCACAGTTAAGTGCAAGGAGTACGGTGAGGAGAGCCAGGAGGGCCGCATACGTCCAGGACATCTTTAACTCCGGGTCAGAGTGAGCAGGAGGGCGAAGGAGTCGGACCTGTGTGAGAGTGGGGCTGGAGTCAGGTGGGAGTGTCCTCACACTGAACAAGTCTTCGTACTTTTTAACTTTTTCACATTTATGTTACATCTACAATTTCAATTCAATTCACTTCATTGCATTGAGCATGCATCAGGATATCAATTCACTTCAGTTTATTTATATGGCGACAAGTCACTACAGAAGTCGTCTCAGAGCACTGAACAGAAACATTCATATATAAACACAATAATTAAACATTATTTATCTGAGGCGCAGACTGCTTTGAATTTAACTCCATCACAGAACTCTCATCTTGAGCAAGTCTGAAGGCAACAGTGGAAAGAAAAACTCCCTCATGTGGAAGAAACCTTCAGCAGAACCAGGCTCAGGACAAGTGACCATCTGCTTCAACCGGATGGGTTTGAGGAGAACAGATACACAATGGCAGGTCAAGAATCACATGTTAAGATAGAAATAGTGTCAAATAAAAACTATTCAATTTTAACAATTCATTTAAGAAAATGAGGTCAATTTGTCCTCTAGTAGTCTAAGCTTAAGACCACATGACAAGCCAACCCTAACTATAGGATTTATCAGAAAGGAACGTCTTAATCCCAGTCTTAAAACTGGACAATGTGTCAGCCTCATGGACAGAAACTGGAAGTTGGTTCCACAAGAGAGGAGCCTGATAACTGAAAGATCTTCCTCCCATTCTGATTTTGGAAACTCTAGGTACTGCGAGCCTACAGTCTGAGAGCGAAGTGCTCTGTTAGGAAAATATGGAACAATAATATCTGTAATATAAGATGGAGCTAGGTCGTTGAGAGCTTTGTAGGTTAGAAATAAGATTTTGAATTCTATTCTGGATTTGACAGGGAGCCAATGGAGAGAAGCTAAAACTGGAGAGATATGATCTCTCCCACTAACTCCGGTTAAGACTCTGGCAGCAGCATTTTGGATCAACTAAAGACTTTTTAAAGAAGTATTTAGACACCCAGATAATAAACCATTACAATAGTCCAGTCTAGACGTGACAAATGCATGGACCAGTTTTTCTGCATCATTTTTAGATGTTTCTAATTTTAGTGATATTACGCAGGTGGAAGAAGGAGGTCCTAGTAACGTTTTTAACGTGGGGGATAAAAGACATGTCCTGATCAAAAATAACACCAAGATTTTTAACATTAGAGCTGGAGGACAGATTAATGCCATCTAAGGAGGGAGAAAGTGAAAAATTCTGAAAACTGAAACCTCAGTCGTGTCTGTGTTCAAAAGGAGAAAATTAAGGGTCATCCAGGTTTTTATGTCTTTAAGACATGCTTGTAGTCTAAGTAGCTGATTGAATTAATTGGGTTTAATGGACAAATATAATTGTGTGTCATCAGCATAACAATGAAAATTTATCCCGTGCTGTTTAATAACTTTACCTAATAGAAGCATATATAAGGTAAAGAGTATTGGTCCAAGCACCGAACCTTGAGGAACTCCATAACTAAATTTAATCTACAAAGTAATTTAATGAGGTTCAGTGTGACGGAGCAACACAAAGTAGAGCATATTAGAGGAAACTGATACACAGTTTGCAATTTGTTTATATAATAAACATCTAAAGGTTTGGTGTGTGTTTGTTTTTAGCCGCACCTTTTGCTGCAGTCACAGCTGCTTATATTGGACTATTACTATAACTACCTCTTTGCAAAACACCTCAAGCTCAGTCAGACTGGATGGAGAGGGTCTCTGAACAACAGTTTTGCAACCTCAAACATGTTTTCTTCCATGACTGTTCTGTGTTAACTCTGACCAGCCTCCCTGCCCCCCCTGAATGAAAGGACCCCCACAGCATGATGCTACCACCACCATCCTCAGTGGGGCTGGAGCGTTCAGGTGATGCGCAGTGTCGCACACAGTGTTGAGCATTTAGGCCCAGTATTCAGTTTTGGTCTCATTTGAGCAGAGCAGCTTCTTGTGTGTCCCTACATGGCCTGTGACAAACTGCAAACACTTTTTATGATTTTCTTTCAACAATAACGTTCTTCTCAACTCTTTTCCATGAACAGCAGATTTGTGTGGACTACTAGTGGACCTGGACATGTGGGCAGATTGTCCCTGAGCTGTGGAGCAGCTCAACCAGAGTTACCCTGGGCCTCTTGGCTGTTCCTCAGATTAATGCTTTCCTTGCCCTCTATGTCACTTTAGGTGGGCGGCCATGTCTTTATTGCAGTCGTGTCATGCTCGTTCCATTTTCATTTGATGAACACAGCTCTGTTATTGTTCAAAGCCTTGGATATTGTTTTATAACCTCATCCTGCTTTAAATTTTTCAGTAACTCTTGGATGGATGGAAACTCAAAAGGGCTGTGTACAAATGTACGCCACACTTCTCAGATTGTTATTCGTAAAAAGCTTTGAAAACCGTAATTTTCCTTCCACTTTACCGTTATGCACCACTTTGTGTTGGTCTGTCACATAAACTGCGGTAACATATTTTAAAGTTTGTGGTTGTGTTGTGACAAAATGTGGAAAAGTTCATGAGTTAAATACTTCTTAAAGGTACAGTAAGACGAAATCTAAGACGTTACAAAGCGTTTTAAACAAGATAAGGAAAGATTCATTTTGACTCAGTGAGACTTTTGCTCCTGTTTCCATCCATTTTATGAACATTTAGAATTTGAAGCGAAGCCTTAACTGTGAAAGACGGTCGACCTTTAGTTCAGTGACAGTCCGAGATCGTTTCTTCAGCCAGACAGAAAATAATTTGAGCGCCGGCAAAGAAGTTACAGCACAGACTGATTATGATAACTCCAACACTTGTCAGGGAGAAGATAGATGTGAGACAAGAAAAACTACAGAATATTCAGGTGAAAGAAACGACAGAAAGCTGCGGAGGCCCGGAGCAGGTTTGCAGATTTCTTGCCAAATGTTTCCTTTTCACACAAACCTGAGACGGACCTGAGTGGAGCCACTCGCTCTGCAGAGCATCCAGAAAGTATTCACAGCTCTTCACATTTTGTTATGTTACAGCCTTATTTCAAATTGTATTAAATTAATCTCTTTCTTCAAAATTCTACACACAATACATCATTATTATAAATAATGTGAAAAAAGATTTGAGATTTTTTGCAAAAGTATTAAAAATAGAAAACAATGAAATCACTTTTATCTATTCACAGCTTTGTTGATCCGCATTTTGCAGCAATCACAGCCTCCAGTCTTTTTGAATATGATGCCTCAAGATGAGCACACCTATCTTTAGACAGGTTGTCCCATTCTTCTTTGCAGTACTTCTCTAGCTCCATCAGGTTGGATGGAGACGTCTGTGCTGCCATTTTCAGATATCTCCAGAGATGTTCAGTCAGATTCAAGTCTGGACTCTGGCTTGTCCACTCCAGGACCTGTACTTATCCTGTAGTATCCTCCATAGACCTATATCTAATATAACTTTCATCTACAAATTTCTAGAGAAAACAGCTGCTGGTCAGTTACGTGATCATCTGCAAAAAACTAAAGAATAAAGAAGTTTGAAGAGTTTCAGTCAGGTTTTAGAGCTCACCACTGAATCTGCACTGGTGAAAGTAACTAATGATATTCTCATGGCCTCTGACAATGGACTGGTGTCTACACTGGTCCTGTTAGACCTCAGTGCTGCATTTGATACAGTTGATCATAATATTCTATTACAGAGACTTGAATATATTGGAATAACAGGAATGGCTCTATTATTTGATAGATTCCAGTTTGTAAATATAAATAATGAATCTTCTTCATACATCAAAGTTAGTCATGGAGTTCCTCAAGGTTCAGTGCTTAGACCAATACGCTTTACTTTTTACATGCTCCCATTAGGTAATGTTATTAAACAGCATGGGATAAATTTTCATTGTTATGCTGATGATAAACAG